TTGTGGGACTGACTAGGGGCCCCAAGGCTAACCGTATCCCGAGGCGGAATCGATAATTCCTTTTGATCTGATTTTTATGACATCGGGGATTTCCCGAGGTCCTTCGGTTTTAATAGTCATGTGGGAGCCTGGAATAATTCTGCCGGTGCACTCCCAAAGGAGAACGTGATGTTAATGCGGCTAGGATTAATTGGCTCTTTTGGACAAACGAGCAGTTGTCACTCAGCCTTTATATATTTGCTCATCCGCCCTTCAAGTGGTGATTTTTCAAATTTTGATAAGCCTATCTCTTCTGCAAAGCCTGGCACTTTGTGAGAGTCCTTCTGCTCCCCTGCTTCAGAGAGTTTTTGCCAGGATCCTCATCTTCTTCGCCTTTGTTCTGCTGTAATCATGGTCGTTGCTTGGACTGCCGATCCTCAGACGAAAAAGAGTCCCTGATGCGCTCCGCCTTTGGTTGGCATCGGTGGCTCATCCCCGACATCGGGAGAACGAGATCTGGTTCGCCCTGCCTCGAATGAAGTCGTTACATCGAGGAGACCTCCCAATGTTCCAGGTCATCGAGAGCATGTGTCGAGGATTATTTCGTCAGTGAGGGAGGAAAACCTCGAGATGATCAAGAAAGAGTGCGTATGGGGGAAGGGCGTGATCTTGCGAGTACCCTCCCCCGAGGAGAACATCACGACAAATGATGAGGGGGTCTTGAGTGTGTATGTCCACGTTCTCACGCCGGGTCCTTCGGATCGGGTCGTGCTCGATTTCTGCAGGAGGTATCAAGTAACATTGGTGTAGGTTTATCCTTTTCTTTGGAAAATATTGCACTCGATGAGATATTTTGCTATTCACCCTTAGCAATCTCGTGAGGTTGTATCGGCCGTTGTGTTGTAGGTGCTTGATTGCTCTTCAGCGTAGATCCGCTCGAGTTCCTGTGATTGGAAGCGAGGGGGATGAGGACTGCGGATGGATGAATCGATTTGTGCGAATCTAGACGATCGATGTTATACCCGAAGAGTTTGTGCCGTTCCCTAAGAGATGGAACCTCGTGCGTAAGTGCTTTGGTTCCCCAGCGAGATTCCAGACTTAGCCGAATGGTCCCGTAAGCTAGTAGCTTGCTCGGCTTACGACAGGCATCGATGGCCAGATCTATCAAAGGGGAGATGGGAGGCGAAGCACCACGGTAGGTGTCCGGCATCTTGACCCCTTAAGGGGGCGGCTTCCTTCTTGGTGGCTCATTAGATTTATCTGATGCAGGTGCCGGGAGTCTCTTCGAGGAGAGGGTGAATTCCACGAGGGAGGAAAAGAAATTGTTGGCCCCGGAGTCAGGGAACATCGGAAAAAGGAAAGATGTCCCCGGGTGCGAGAAGGCCTATGATGGGGCGACCTTTTCGCAGCGGTTAAGGGGAAGCGATGCGGCCGACCGACAATTTCCCGGGGTTGGTGTATCGTCGGACGTTCTTCAGCCTTCGTCGAGGCTCAGTGCTTCGGCCTGATGGTGACTTTCGGTCGCTATAAGGATGTTTCGGCCTTGCATCCATCTCTTTTCCTTTTGTCCACTTGACTTTCTTTCTGAGGTTTTTGACAGGCTCAAAGCTGAACTGCTTCGTTATGAGGCCCCACTGCGGGATGCCAGAGATAGGTAGAAATCCCTAAGACATCTTTGTGCAAAAAAGGAAAGGGAGCTCATCTTAATACGGCGTGATGTTGATCGGAGTTTGGTCCGAGAGGCCCTTTTGGAGAAACAGGTATCTTGCATCTTCTACTGGATTGCATTCCATCTTTGCCGTCTTGACGTGTTGTTGTTTCAGTTGATGGACAGGGCAAATGAACTAGAACAACTCTAAGGCAAAGTTGGCAAAGCCAAACATGAATTCATCGAGCTACAGGCGCACGTGAATACCCATTCCGAGGCCCAGGAGAGGGCTCAGGCCAGGGCTTTCGCCCTTGAGGCGCAAGTGCAGGTTGCTCGCGCGGATGATTCTGCCCGGGCGAAGATGATCATGAAACTGTCATCCGAACTTCCTAGGGAGAAAACCGAGGTGGTGAATATTCGAGCCGAGGTTATGATGAATGATACCGGGTCGGGGCAGAAAATGGTGGCTTATTGAAGGAGTGTCGCTGCCGCTAAAGTTCAGTTGCAGAAGACCCTCGATCGTGCCAAAAATAGCAAAGAGTACGTGAGGTGCATATCCCGTATGGAACCTTTGGGGAGATTCATGCCAGGGGCTTCGATCTCTCGAGGGAGATCGAGCAAGCCAAAGGAGAGGAGCATGATGCCATATTCCTGCTGTCCGATGCTGAGGATGATGAGCAGGAGACCACTAGGCTATGACAAACGGAAAAAAGTGGAATGATATGTGGCTTTTACGCTTTTTGGTCGTAGATACCTTTTGATATGTGGCCCGTAGGCCTGCTTAGCTGGAGATAATGGCTCTTGCGCTGTTTTTGCCCGTTGTCTTTTTGTAGGCTTGTTTTCCGCTCGTTAAGGTATTTTGAAAGGTTTTTGCCCGACCCGTCGTCGGTTCTAAAAGAACCTCGATTTCAAGTCGTTATCGACGATTTTTTGAGCACCTCGGAAGGTTCATAGCCCGTTGTTTGCCTATTGAGGGAATCCTGTTTTATCAGTTCTTTCCGAAGTATATTCGAAGTAGTGGCCTGCGAGTTTTGTTTAGCGATGGTTGGGCATCCCCGAGTCGCGTTATTTTTGGCTGTATCGCCATTTTGACCGTAGTCATGTGTGTTTGGCCGTAGCCGTTTTTGATCCTAAAGTGATAGTTTAGGCGTCTACACCGAGGGTATGCCCTTTCGGGATTCTTAAAAATGCGACTTATAGCCTAAACTTAGGGATTTTCATGCCTGTTGAGGTCTTATAGCTTGTCATGCCTATTGAGGTCTTATAGCTTGTCATGCCTATTGAGGTCTTATAGCTTGTCATGCCTATTGAGGTCTTACAGTTTTTTCAAGGATGTAGAATAGATCTGGTTATGCTGAGTATGCCCGCTAGGGGTCTTACATTTTTGCATTTTCTAGCGCATGGTAAATGACGACAGCCTCCGAGTCATCAAGTTGTTTAAGCGTGAAGACCGCTTCTTGTGAACTTGGAGTGCTTTATGAGCCCGGAGTTCCGGCCCTGGAGTTATGCGGGCATTAAACTGCTGACGCTAGGTCTCCGAGTATCTCGGGACGTTCTTGTTGGAGAGGCCCCTATTGGAGATGCACTTGAGATTCCCCTTTCCAAAGTATGAAATGCCGACAAATATTCTTTATTGCTTGGCCTAGATATATGCTATTAATACATGCTGTTTTGTTGTAGCGGGCTCGGCCCGTGCATTATTCCCTATTAGGGCTTCGTTCGTCATTTTGCGGCACCGGGCCGGTTGTAATAAAAGTCCCTTAGGCTTTCTAGAGCCTTCTTGGGAAGAGCGTTGACATTGACTTGTTAAAAAACCCTGCCGGTAGGAAACCCGTTTCGGGATAAAAAAAATTCGATCTAATGAAAAAAGTGCAACGGACGTTTTGAATCCTCTGAATCTTCGAGCCGGGATATCATCCTGATTACCTTGGTTACTGCCTTGCACAAAGGCAACCGTGAAGTAGAAGATGGGGAGAGGGATGGGCGTTTATACCTTGATGGCGACGGCGCTTCCCGAATTTTGGCGTTTACTTAGCGGCTGCTAGGTGGTCCTTTATTTGAATGCGTTCGGATGGACCATTAGATGATCGTGTGGGCAACGTCCTGAGGCTTGTCTGTTTTGTTTCCCTTTGCCATTCCTTCTCCCCGTGATTGACCTTTAGTCTGGTTGCTGAGAAATTCCCGAGGATGCCCGTTGGCGCTATGTTCCGATCGAACAAGGCTCTGTTGACGAACCCTCGATCTGTTCTCCGCTCATTGCGTGGCGGGTCGTGTCTTGGGGCGTTCCTTCTGTCATCGAGGTATGGCTGATACCTTCGTTTGTTTGGTTTCGATTCGTTCATCAAAAGTCTGTCGGGTATACTGAGCTCAAAGAGGCTCCCAACTGGTCGTCTTGGACTCTAATTTTTAACTAGTATGGGTTGTGGTCGTTCGACCAGGTCACGGCCGGATATTCGATCAGGTTTTGCTTCAGCTGCTTCGAGGCACTACTAGAAAATTCACCTATGGCTACGCTGGGAAAACCGTTCCAATAGGTAAGAAAACCGTTGTCATAGATGTATTGAAATGGTTCAGCGCCCGTTCCACAAGCTGTCGTGCCTATAGGTTTTATGGAACGATTTTTGGATCGGTTCCGATAACCAGCGCTATAGAACAGACTATCGCTACGGTTTTACCTCTTCCTGTTGGAATGATTATTCTTATCAACTGCAACGGTTAATAACTGTTACCATAACGTTAAATGAAACGGTCGATAACTATTACTATATCTATTAAGCTGTTACGGGTATTACAGAAATGGCAACGATTTCTTTAAGATATTGCAACAGTTGAACTACCTATTGCAACGGTTTGTAGATTATTTCGGAACGGTTTGCATGTTCTATGGCAACGATTTACTTACATATTGCAACGGTTGTTAGATTATTTTGGAACGGTTTGCTGGTCCTATGGCAACGATTTTTAGATTATTTCGAATAGTTTGCAGGTCCTATGGCAACAGTTGATTTACCTATTGCAATAGTTTTTATATTATTGTTGAACGGTTTGCAGGTCCTATGGCATCGCTTTTGTTAGCTGTAAAAATTTAATTGAATTGAAAATAGTACCCCCTGTTGTAAATAAAGATTTTACATATATATACAATAAACTATAAAACGCTAAAATTTATCTAAATACAAAATGAAACTTCTAATATTCCAAATTGTCCGACAAGTTAATAATTAATCCATAGATAGTGATGAAACCAATAACTTACATTTGATATTTCAACATCAAAAGTTTTAAAATATTTTGATAACAAACATTCCTAGAAACCACCACATGCATCTACAACAATCAACAATTCAAAATTCAAGTAAGGTCTAGATCTTCATCACTGCCTCCGTCTTCCATCTCTTAATCTACTCCACCTACAAAAGAGTATAAAGTGAGATTTGCAAAATGGATTATGCACAGACCAAACATAAAGAAGCTGCTCTGAGGCAGGAAGAACCAAAGAACCAATTGTAGTAATATTGGATTTCAAAGCTTCCCCTGCTATAACCATAAGATCTTTAGAAAGATTAATACCAACTTTTCCTTGTGGATATTCTTGTTCAAAAACACATCTATAAGCTTTATCATCAGCACCTTTATGTGTTCTAACCACATACATTAATCTATACTTAGCTCTACTGTTGTCTTTTCTTCTGTTTGACAAAAGTATAGCAGCACCACCTTGGTAATAATTAGGTGTAATAATTTTAGTACTTACTACTAAAGAAGATGAATTTGGAAGAACTTGTAGAAGGTCTCTAGCTAAATCAATAGAGATTAAGCCAGCACTACATCCCATACTAGAAAGATTGTAACTTTTTATGTTACTTCTCAACTTGTATTTGTTCACAACCATAGCTGATAAAGATGGATTTGGAAAACACAAGCTACAGTTAACGATAAGAATATCGATATCTTTAGGTTTTAGACATGTTTTCTTCATTAAGTTGTCAATAGCTGAGAATATGACAACTTCAGCTTCAGCTCTAGCAGATTCCATTGTTGATGTTGGAGGTATGTAATGACAAGCAGGAGGCAAACAAGTTTCTTCACCAAGTCCCGACCTTTCAAGAATTTGCATCTCTAGTAATTTCAATGGAGCAAAAGAAATGGCACCAACAAGATCATTGTCAACTAATCATGTACAAATTTCTAGTAATCTTAAATGTTTTAAACATTGAGCGTCCAAATTTCTTTTTGCAGATAACAGCCTAAAAAAGGATGATGAGGTTCCTGCTATGATTGAAGGGAGGAGCAAAGTCCAAAGTGGAAAAGTGGATTGTGATTCTAGATCAGCTTCCATGTTTCCTTCAACTCCAATCTGGAGGGGTTATCCTAGGAAGAAACAGGGTGGTAGCTTTGACCTGAATGACAGACCAAGGAAGAACCCTAGATTGAAAAAACACACACCAAAAATCTTTGATGAAAGCAAGCCCAAAAAGACTCAAAAGCCTAAGATAAAGCCTTCGACTCCAAAACCAGTCAACTTAAACGCAAGTGCTAGGTCAAAGAGTAAACTAAGAAAGGACTGCGAGAAAGTCTCAGATGATTTATCAGGAGATAGTGATATGCAAGCACCTAACAGAAAGACTCCAGGAACTATTCATGTCCTAAAGGTTTCAACTCCTCAGCCGGGAATGGAGCACAATATTCATGTAGATCTTGGGCATGATGTAAAGTCATGCAGACGAGCTCTAGATTTTAATTTGGAAATTGAGAATGATGTTATATCCAAGAGAGTTGCAGAAGTGATTAGAGATCATGTAACAGATAGTTGCAACAAATTCTTGACAATTTGACTGGAGCACTCAATGGAGCAAAAACAAGAAAATAACAGTACTGGTGCACACAACAAGATTTAGAATTTGAGTGGGAATGACAGTACTCTTTCAAACACTTGCGCACTAATAAAGAGAGAGAGCGAGAGAGCGCACAGTGAGAAGCAACATAAAAAAGGAGGAGAAGACGAGGAAAGAGAAGACGTGTAACATTTGCTAGGGACTAACCTTGGTTGTTAATGCCAGCGGATGGACGATTGATTGGTTGAATAGCACTTGTTGTGCAGAAGCAGCTTCGCCAGGTGCACGAGCACTTAATATTAGCATGTCAGGATCAAGTCTTAAATCGGGGTTGAGACGTTGAAGTCGTGTAACGACGTTCATCTTAATATCTTGTTCCATAGCATCCTTTTGTGCATTGAGCTCTTCCAGCAATTTTTCCTTTTGTGCATTAATCTTTTCCAACAATTTTTGTTGCATTCTCTCTTCCATTTCCTCCATTTTTTTTTCCATTCTCTCATCAGTAGCATTTACAGAGGATCAAAAATCTCCTTTTTTTCTTTTTTATGACAGTTTTGTTAACTCCTCGTCCATACAATCTTGCCCGACCTGGGTGCTCAGGTCCCATGACTGATGCAAGCACGTCAACTGAATCACTACCATCTCCACTTTCATGAGTTGATTGTATTCTCTCCATTTCAGCCTACAAACCAAATGCAAGAGAATAGAGTATAAGCAAATAAAACTATGTCGATAATTAAGAACAAATAAATAATCACAATAATCATCAAACTAGAAATTTCTTACAATTTTACTAAATGTATTCTCATAAGAGCTTTTGTATACTCGACCAGGTTTTCTTTTTCTTGTAGTCACAAAGATGTCTATACTTGATAGAGTATCCGAAGTATCAGCCATTTCCTTCTTTTTTTCCTAGTTTCATGAAAACTAGTATAATAATGTTTTCATTCAAAGTTAACAAGTTCATTCTTAAAGAGAAACAAGAGAAAAAAATCAAACCTCGATGATTCGAGCAAAACTTGTTTTGCCAGCAGTGTGTGGATGCTTCAACTTTTTTTGATCCTGGATATTGGTTTCAGACGTTTTCTGCAAATAAACAAGCAAATGCATGTGTATATAAAGCCATGATTGTTTCAGACTCAATTGTTTTGAACTACTAAAATAACATGCTGTTATTCTTTTCCCTTAATTGCAATTTGGAGTGCCGGACCTTACTCCACTTCTCGTGGACATATGATTTCACATTTTTCTTAAAAAAATTGTCTTAAAGCCAAAGAAATGACAAGAATATCTTGGACTAATTTTTCAGTTACATCCTGATAGTTGAAAGGAATCACTTTGACTTCACACAGAGTTGGCAAAAGTTGGATTTAATTACCTTGGCAGCATCAGAGTTCCAATAGTCAAGAAGATCTTTAAAGTGAGATGCTGGAACATTTTTTGGCCTATTCTCCATTCGAAGCTCGTCATTCTCATATTCTTCAAAGTGCTTTTTCTTCAACTGACTTTTATACTTTCTCCAAGCACTACAAACTGAATCAAAAACCCAATTCTTCGCCTCTTCAGGAATGTCATATTTTTCCTACTAATTTAGTGCAATTGGGTAAATATAAGAAATTTGAAATATCAACGTTTATTGAACATTAGGAACTTCAAACCTTGACATATTTGTTTTAGCCAAACTTACAGTTCCATTATTGTTTATTTTTGGTTGTAGCTCCTTTCGTATCCCCATTTCTTGCAAGTCATAGCGAGAATTTTCATGGTCCTTTGACTTTCCATCTATTTACAATAAAGTCCCGATCAAACTATCACATATGTTTTTCTCAATGTGCATCATGTCAAGATTGTGCCTCAATTTGTTATGCACCCAATATGGCAATTCAAAGTAAATGGATCTCTTTTTCCATAGGCCCTTAGCACGTCTATATCATTTCCACGGTGCTATATTATAGTTCATTAACATAACATGCCACGTGCTATGAGAAATGCTCATCGTCTGAAACGGGTTGAAACCGTCACTTGAAAGACCCAATCTAACATTACGAGGATCGCTAGAGAAATCTGGGTGCAAAGAATCAAAATCCTTCCAAGCTTCCCCATCAGCAGGAGGTCTTATATTCCCATCATTGAGTCATTCATTAGCATGCCATCTTATCGTAGAAGCCGTTTCAGGACACATGAATATCCTCTGAAGCCTAGGCTTTAAAGGAAAGTACCTTAAAATCATGGTGGGTATTTCAGAGCTTGCATTTGCCAAAGGACCAGCATTCTTCCATCTTGAAGACCCACAAATAGAGCAATTATCGGCCTTCTCATTTTATTTCCAAAGTAACATGCAATCATTGGGGCATGCATGTATTTTTCGTAATGAAGACCCAAATCTTTTATCATGTTTTTAGCCTTGTTGAAATATTCTGGTACCTGAGCAAAGGGAAATGCCTCTTTTATCAACTCTAACAAATTTGAGAAGGCCACATTACTCAACCCATGCAAGGATTTAAGTAAGTACAACCGCATAGTAAAACTTAGTTTACTGAAATTTTCACACCCCGGATATAACTCATGTTTTCCTTCCTCTAGTAATTTGAAAAATTTCCTTGCTTCTTTAGATTGTCATTCCCCAGCTCCTTCTTCATCCCCTGTCTGACCCTCTATATTTCTAAATGTATCATGAAGCATTCTATCAATATCATCACGCATGTTAGAACTTTCATCATCATTGCTTGGAGAAGGTGTATTTCTCGCGAAAAATTCCTCCCCGTGGAAAACCCATTTGTTATAACCATCAACAAACCCATGAACAACCAAATGATCCTCCACCACATTTCTAATGACAATAGCGATTAATGCACGTTTTGCAAGGGTATAATATTTTATTTCCTTGGGCAGCTCGTTCAAATGCCTTATCAAGAAAATTATTCACTCCAACTATATACTCATCCGTCCATATAAGGAGATTCATCTAACTTTTATCACCATAATCCATGGATATCCTATATAATATATTCAAATCACCAAAATTAATATTCAAGGTAAGCAAGGTCCAGGGATCAAGAAGGCCATACTTAGGTAAAAAAATAATGAATCTACCTTTCTAGAGAAACTATACAATGCAGAAACAGATGTAGGATAAAGAACTATGGATAAGGAAGAAATTATATCCCCTTGTAGCATTGAAGTGCTATACTACAAGAATCCCATTTTTCTTCAAGTCATGGTCAACCATCATTTTCTTTTCTATCTGTAACAAGAAGAAATTTTGGATAGATAATATTTCCCGATGTTACCAGTAGAGAGGTAATAGGGTGGTTTGATTGGGGGCTGTAAAGTTTCTGCTTATAAATCACATTACATTTACAACTGTTCTCACTTTTATTTATACCCTTATTCCATCTCTCTATGATTGTCACTTCTAGTGAGTAAATCACTAAGTGTGAAACAAGGAGACGACCAAGTATATAGAGGAAAACAATGCAGAGAAGAAGTGTTCAAAGCAATTAATGAAAATACATGGGCTGCAGTAACCTTATTGATGATATTTTAAATCAAAATGCCAAATGGGATTTTCCAAGATGGCAGAAATGATATGCCAAAAGAGATGAATGAATTAGCAAAAAGAAGAGTGGTAGAGTCATCAGACACTGGCTGAATTGCAGCAGGTATCAACAAATATCAGCAAGGATTCTTGCACAACCAAAAAGAATGTTAATGAACACAAGAATATGACGAAAAGATGTTAATTGCTTTTCAGGGAACTTCTATTAGAATAAGATATTACATTTCAAAAAATGTTTAAAATGTCTAGCAGAACAAATAATCAACTAATGTAACCAAAAAATCCTTGTGAGAAAAGGCAAACTTGTTTAGCTTCTACATAATTCTATAGCTGCATATGCACGTTGTTTAACTAGCCAGCAAGCTACAACTATCATTAAAGGTGCCAGTTACAACTGGAAAAGGTTGAGAACTCTGAACAACATTTTGGATTATAGGATATAATTCAAGGTGTTGCTATCCTCAGAAGCTAAGAAATAACGCACCATGTCTCATAGGAAGATAACATAAGCGAAATAAAGATATTACTATATCAGTAGACTTCCATCCAAAAACAACCTCTGTTTCTTTGCAAAATTACTATAACAAGATCATCATACTACCACCAAAAAGTATCATTTAAGTAATCATTATACGAAAAACTAAGTCGTGTGGCTAATTCAGGGGAAAACAAACAAATGGAAACAGTTCCACTTCAACATTCCATGAAATGACACATGGATAA